TAAGGACATGATAACCTACCACGCTCATAGCGTGCTCGCGGCCGTTTCGCTAGCTCCAGATATACTAAGTTTGGTGTCACGTGACGTGAATAGATGACGAAGGTAAACAAGACATCCAAACATCATAATAATGGCAAGAAAGTCATCTACGACATCATTTAGCTCCACCTCATAACGTTGTGCTGATTTTCAAGTGGCATATCAACATTTATCATTCGTGCTTCGAATATGATCGATTCCCGCTGTACGTGAGATCTGCAATTTTTTTTCCCTTTAGCTTCTTAAAATAACGGCGCCTGGAGCATTGCCGCCGCGTTTCCTCCAGCACATGGCGTTCGGCGCATTCTTTGACCAGCTTTGCAGTTTTCAAGCTGGAAGAGTCGGAGAGCTTTATTCTCTGTCGCTTTGAGTGAAAAATCATGCTAGTGAAAAAACAAATCCAATGGTAGACCCTATTTTTATTCAATGCCGTGCTCACATTTAACGTTACATTTATCCAATCATATGGCGGCAACCTTCCGGCGTCATTTCCGCTCACAGTAGTTCTGGCGAGCGCCACTACGAGTTATGCACGCCCCTCCACGGTGGTCTACTGGCTAAGGTATATACTCGGCTGCTGACCCGCAAGTCGCGGGATCGAATCCCGGCTGCGGCGGCTGCATTTACGATGGAGGCGGAATCGCTGTAGGCCCGTGTGCTCAGATTTGGGTGCACGTTAAAGAACCCCAGGTGGTCAAAATTTCCGGAGCCCTCCACTGCGGCGTCTCTCATAATCATGTGGTGGTTTTGGGACGTTAAACCCCACATATCAATCAATCATTCATTTACTAGTTATGCAGTCGGCACCGATGTTTTCAAGCGTGGGAGAGCCCCTTTAACGCCTCCAAGACGGGCGCGCACGCCGCGCGCTTCGTTTTCGAGGATAACGTGAAACTGGTCTTTCGAATCTTTCAGTGCGCCGCCGCATTACCAGCCTTTGTTTTCTACACAAGTTCTTTCACAGCCCTCTTAATCAAGCACCCTACATCGTCCCACCGACGCACATATCTCACCGCAGTGCCCACGCGTTTCAAATTGCCCGTCCACATGCTCGCACTACTACTTTTTCTGCCTCTTTTTTCCCCCGAGTAGCAGTGGACTGGAATGGCCTTCCCTGTGACGTTCCAGCCATCACGTGTCCATCAACATTTAAAGAGAAGGTCACCGCGCACATTTCCATTTGAAAACCTGTGTACATTTACCTGTAACCCACCCCTTATGTAGTACCCCCTACATGGGGGTCTTCAAGGTATTAAAGTGATGTGATGATGTGATGTGATATAGCTCATGTCTCACGTGTGACGTGTCGATGCGCTCGTTCGCCTCCGCTGCATGCTCGGGGCACTCTGATGCAGCGCTTCTAGAAATCATTTACCGATTTTCTTGCGCAGAACATCAAATAAACGTTTTGATGTACCCATGTGTCCATTGTTAATGAACAAGAAGGACTTCTCAGCGCTTACTTCAACTTTTTGTTCTCTTGCCCATCTGAATACTAAAGCCGGGACATGCTCAGCCTTTGCTTGTAAGCGGAGTCTGGACGTATCTGTGATGACACTGGCGGTATCGTCCGCATACGCCTGCATGTGTACGCCACGTGGCACGGGAAGATTGAGTAAGCTTGATGATTGATTGATTGATATGTGGGGTTTAACGTCCCAAAACCACCATATGAATTTGAGAGACGCCGTAGTGGAGGGCTCCGAAAATTTCGACCACTTGGGGTTCTTTAACGTGCACCCAAATCTGAGCACACGGGCCTACAACATTCCCGCCTCCATCGGAAATGCAGCCGCCACAGCCAGGATTCGGTGCCGCGACCTACGGGTCAGCAGCCGAGTACCTTAGCCACTAGACCACCCCGGCGGGGCAAGATTGAGTAAGCTGTGTATTAATATATGTTCCACGGTAGCGGGCTGATAGGGGATCCCTGCGGGCTGCCAATGGTTGTGTGAGCGGTCTCTTGTGCGAAGTTGGTTGAAAAATATACAGTGCGGTTCGATAAGAAGGATTTAGTAGACAGTAGAAGTTTTGTGGACACCTGTGCTTGTGCAGAAAGTTTAACGCTGCAGGATGCCAAAGGCATTCATATATGCTCCTACAAAATAAAGAGATGTGAGTATGGTAGGAAGTTTTAATCCCTTGTACGCAGCTAATTTGCTTTGGAGCGTGTACAGTGCTAAAGTAGCACTTTCACCATGCGTAAAAGCGTGCTCATTATTGTGAAGATGATTAATAAGCATTCAGGAGTCTTTCAAATACTTTACTAAAGACAGAGCTCATTACTATTGGTCTATATGCCTTAGGTGAATTGAGCGGCCGACCTAGCTTCGGTACGAATATTACTTTTCCTCTTCTCCAAGGTTGCGGAAAGTGTCCGATTCTAAAGGCGGTATTGAATATAAAATAGAAAAATTGCGAATGATACTCAAATAACCCTTTAATGAACGGGTATAGGTTAATTCGTCGTGTTCAGGAGCAGAGTGCGAATTGCCCTGTTTCATACACACTCAATATCAGATATTGTAAAGGGAGGGTCAGAAGTGTACCACGGGTAGGGACTATAGCCACAATATCACGCATGATAGTGTAGTGCGTGTTGTCTTGAGAACAGCTGCCCACTGCTACCAATGTATCGAGTAGGAGCTGGGCGGATTCCATTAGAGAAGTTATGCGGGTACCAATAGGCAAATCTAGAAGATGATTGATAGTTATGGGGCGTTTAACGTCCCAAAACCACCATATGATTATGAGAGACGCCGTAGTGGAGGGCTTCGGAAACTTCGACCACCTGGGGTTCTTTAACGTGCACCCAAATCTGAGCACACAGGCCTACAACATTTCCGCCTTCATCGGAAATGCAAATCTAGAGGAGGAAGAAAAGCTACTTGGTGGTGTTTTTGAAAATCTCTTTTGAAAATATCACCATATGAACATTTCTTAGTAAGAAAGTGACTATTGTCTTTTTCAGATAATGATTTAGCTTTCCTGATTTTATCATTGTAGGTGTAGAATGCGTCAACGTACAATTTGCGGTACAAGTCTGATTGATATGTGGTGTTTAACGTCCCAAAACCACCATATGATTATGAGAGACGCCGTAGTGGAGGGCTCCGGAAATTTTGACCACCTGGGGTTCTTTAACGTGTTGCGGTACAAGTCTCGAAGGAGGGTGTAGGCTATTCGCTAATACCGTCGTCGCATAGCCCGAACACGCTTACGTTCGATAGTCAATTCTGGTGTCCACCAACCATTACCTAATTTGCTACGCGATGTTGTGTGTCGTGAGTAACGTTGGCCTAAAGCATTCAACTTGTCTATAACCACGTATAAGGCTTTAGGTGACCCAGTGTTGCAGCCTAGTATCTTTGTGAACCAAGTATCATCCTTTAATTTGTTAAGAATTTTCGCTCTTCCTAGATTAGTTGATCCTTTAGCACCGCTGGTAGTGCTTGCGTGAACGAGAACTCAATGTAGTTGTGGTCTGAGAGGGCACCTACCAGCAGTAAGCATCACAAATGAGGTCATGTGAAACCATAGTTGAATATATCCATGACTCTGCAAAAGGAGTTGTGAAAGTTGGTGGGGAGGTGGGGTTACTCAATATGATTAAGTCATTCGCTGTCACGAACTGGACTACCTGAGATTCGCGAACATCCCCTATAGCCGGCCCCCACATTCTATGCTTAGAATTCAAATCACCGGCTATAATGTCACTAAAGCCTGGGACTAATAAAATTACACATTGCAGCTCATCCAGAACTGGATCAATAGGTCTTTGCGCCTGGGAATACACAGCTATCTGTATTAATGTTTGGTCACAGCTTTCACACTTTACTGCAACAACCAAATATGTTACGTGTAATGGGAATAAGTCAGAATTAGTGTTGCGCACTAGAAGCATGACGCGAGGATTTTCTGGTGCGAGGAACTCTGTTATGTTTTGTGGTATGCCTTGAACAGTACCTGCACGGATGTGCGGGTCACACACGAATGCGCAATTGAAATTTTGTTGCGTCATGTATTCTATCAATGATTTTGTAGCATCACGTGGGCCAGATTAGCCTGTAATAATTTTAAGTTGTTGCTGCGAGTAATGATGGTTCATGTGTGTATGCGCTGTGGCCCCTGGCGTGCAACTGTCGACGACGAAAAGTACAAATAAGATTTATTTCATTCGTCGGCGATTTCAAGCAGTGCAACAACTGCCTTAGAATGCGCATGGTTATCTAAGTGCAAGGGCTAGACGGACTCATGGATGCTGTGCAGCTGAGATAAGCAGCTGCAGAAACAGGGGGCGTTGATTTCCTTTGGCAGCACGAGTCTGATTACAGCGCAAATGAGGAACTAGAGTGTTTAAATGGCATCCGGTTTCTTTTCCTATAGCAGCTGCTACAAAAACAAGCTTCGTTTATTTTCAATCAGTCCTCTCTTAGCGACACGTTGATGATTGATATGTGGGCTTTAACGGCCCAAAACCACCATATGATTATGAGAGACGCCGTTGTGGAGGACTCCGGAAATTTTAACTGCCTCGGGATCTTTACCGTGCGCCCAAATTTGAGCACACGGGCCTACATCATTTTCACCTCCATCGAAAATGCAGCCCCCACAGCCGGAATTCGATCCCGCGACCGGCGGGTCAGCAGCCGAGTACTTTAGCCACTAGACCACCGCGGCATGGAGCGGCACGTTGCAGCTTTGTAACATCCATAGTAACTGTTAGGAAAGACGTTGTGAATGTCTGATCTGAGTCTAACTTTCACCACGAGGCTCGTTTGCACGTACACCAGCGTCTCGTTTATTATTCCATCACTGCAGGCCCTTGAACTTCCTGCCACCATGCCCAACGATGTCTGATATAAAACAAAGTGTATGTACTCTGTCGGTTTGAATCTGACAGCAGTTTTTAAACCTGGACAGAGAACAGTTTATTGCAAGAATGCAGTGGTGAGGCATCATAACGTGTACACAATTTTATTGTCGTGCTACAAGAGATGTAGTATTGGTACATTGAGACAATGCTGAACCAGTGGTAGAACCCATCGAAAACCTGCTTTTTGATCACATTTTTATTTCCATTTCAGTTCTCTAACAAGAAACAATGCTTAAACAGACGTGCCCAATATTGACCTTAAAAGACATAATACTGAAAGGTAGTATATCATTTGATTGAACAACAAGCGGCACTTCGATAAAGAAAAGTTTCCGCTGACATTACTTAGCGTTTGAAGACCCACAAATGAGCTTCATCGTATCAAACAAAGCAGGCTGACGCACCGCGCATGTGTCGAAATAACCGCTGACGAATATTCCTCCCTTATTGGCCTTGCGAAGGCAATACGCGGGCATTCGACAGTGAAATTATAGCCAGAATATAAGCAGCACATGAGTATTATTGAGGCTATTCGGAAACCTATCCAGATTTTAACATCGACGCTTTAATTTGTAAGAAGCATTGGTGGTGGCAACAATAGTGCAACATTTATTTCTCCGTAGTATTCATAAGTTTGGACCTTTGATCAAGAAAATCCGTAATGGCTGCGGCATATAGTGTGTGGAACAGAATGAAAACATACGACTCCTCTGATTCAGGCGCGTGGGAATGCTGGCGTTGCCATGTGGACAGCTACCTCGAACACAGCCTTGTACTGGTTGTAGATTGCAGAAATGAGCACGTCTCTGACCTTCTCCTCGATGAGCTCTTCGAACTGATCTTCGCGATCGTCATTCAGACTCAGGTACTCGTCGTACTTGGTCTTCAGTTTGAGCCGTTCCATGAAGAAAGTCATCAGTGATGCTGGCTTCGGGTGCTGTGCGGTAACAGCTACCCTAAGCACGGTCTCCTTCTTCAGCGTAACGTTGACCCAAATGGTCTTGATCGTGCCCACCAAACTGTCTCCCTTGGTCTAGAACGGCAAGGAAAGAAAGCAGATGAAACAAAAAGTACACGAAATGTCAGTGGAGTGACGTGGTTCAAACTGGACTTCACTTATTGCTTGTAGAGACAACTACAGAATGACAAGAAATAGACTAGTATAATGTTTTGGCGGTGTCAGAGGACAAATACAGAGCTCGGGTGCTGCCACAGAATTATGTCCCCCCACATGAACTCACCCCACTTTCAGTTCTGAAGCAAAATGTACGTTTCCCTTGTTCAGTAGGTTGATAAAAAGGTACTAAATGCCCGACAGAGTACCGAAGTGTTATACCCCAAGTTGACCACATTTCATAGATTCTTTGACGTATTTAAATGCATGAAGAAATGACATGTGTTATTCCTAGTGAATTAAGGTTAAAGAAACTATAAATTTACATCTAGTTGATTGGCGAAGTGATATATTTTGTTTACAATAGAACTGTATTGGGGCAAGCATGTCGTAAGAGCATTCCTCACAGATGCCTCTGAAGTTGCCTAAAATCGAAGGTACCAAATGTGTCCTTAAACATCGTGGTCATGCGAACATGTTACTTTTGCCACTCAAGCATACAACATTCTTTCTATCAGTCAGACAGTTCTCTGTTGTATGCACATTTTGTTATATGCATTAACAGTCTGAATTAACGCTTCTCTAAGCACACTTTTTCCTGCTCGCTCTTTTTCCCGACTGCTATACATTACTAGGCTGTAAGGTCAAGTGCTCTACTGAATCTTAAATGCTAGGAAAACTTTCAATAGTATTATACACACCGTCGCAGTGAGTGTTGCCCCAATTCCAGTCATATTGAGCACGCAGTTGACGGTGGTGTTTCCGTTGAGCAGAATAGGCTGTTCGCAGTTGCCCAAACGGTGGACGCCATTGTCGAACCCGTGGATGAAGCCGTCGGTTATGTTAGCCTTCAAGTCTCGGTTAGTGATCCTTGTCTTGAGAATCTGCGCAGTGCAAGCATGAATAAAAATACCGCCTTAGGCACTTTATCTCTTTGGTGAGAGCTCCTCCTCCAGAACCCTCCGTACGAGTAATCATGATACAAGAGATCAGCATTGTAGCTAGTAACTAATTATGCAATCTGGCAGCGCTCTGCCAACGCTTCAAGAACCAAATAATCGAATAGTTATATTGAGGCATTATCGAACAGGGGGGGGGGGGGGGGGTATATGGGTCCTGCAAAATAACGAGTGTGCTAAGAAGTGTTGATTCTAAAGCGGTGGGAGGGGGGGTGGGGTCTGTTCATTGTAAGCTGATTTGTTCGTTACGAAGACAATTTCTTGAAACTCCGGCAGCTATAGCTGTAAAGGCTCACCACGCAGGTTTCTTAGGTGCCATACATGAATTCTCGAACACAATAAGCACAAAGTTTTTTTTTACTATCTGAACAATCGTAGCAAAAAACGCAAAAATGAAAGTCAGTTTTTTTTTAATGCACTTCACTTGCTCATATTTGTGTAATGAGACTTCAAAGATGACTACAGCGTGAAGTACTTAATTATTTACGCGGACGAAAATTATACTGCTCTCATAAGAAACAACATTGAATCCAGCGGGGTTGGTGAGCATTCTGGAATAAAGTTACCCAAACACACTAACATTTATTCTACAGCAAAACGTGAGCCGTAATGACATTTTGCGTGCGGGCAGAAAAGTCAACAAAAAAATCTTGCAGGTAATTTTCTTTGTGGATAGCTCCAAATTTTATTTGTGGAATAAATACGACATGAATCTTGGAATGAAAAATAATTCGCTAACGTAAAGTGAAGTAATGCTTCCATTTAGTTTTTTTTTACTTTATGCAAAGCCCGTACATCATTCCTGTCACCTTTTTCACCACGTGTGTACAGTTGCATGCAACAAACCAAGCCACCACAACTATCTCATAGACAAAAACATCATTCAGAGCAAGCGGTATGCATGGACAATCATGTGTGCCTGCCATAAATCAAGCCACTCCTTTAGTGCCACGCCACTCGCTTGAGGTCATCATGCTCACGGTACTCGACCATATCAGCTTGTACCGTGTCCCACGGGTAGTGCTAATAACTTGTGGCTGACGACTACGACAAGAATTCAATCTACTTCATCCGGTGCGTTCACATCGGTTATAAGATGTTACTACATTGTGGTTCACTGTCGTGGAGCAATTTTTTATCAACTTAAGGGGGCTGAATTCAATCCGCCATTTAACGAACCTTGAAGCTGAAGTCTGGAATTCGAGCCCCGGGATAGAGGTCATGGTTTCCCATTACAAGGTGTGGCATATGTTGTTCAAGGACTAAGTCCATGTAGTTGTTGGAATCTTGCACAGTGCTCGCTGAAGCTGCAAAAAGAAAAAAAAGACAATGGAAAGAACAGATATGGCCAAGGTACATCCACGAGATTCCCTGTAACTCTACAGCAAAAACCCTACAGCCTGCCAAAGTTCCAATGCTTCCTCGCATGTACATAGTTCTGGTCATGCTGAGAGCATGCTATTTGAACACCCACCTTTTGCAAAGCTCCTATTAGTCTGTGTCAGACAATTTACATGTTTAATACTGAACTTTGAACTTCGTGCAAAAGGTAAACAGACATGATTTGGCTTCGTTCCTCAAGCGGGATACACTTTGCTTCAGCATTTTATACTACAACGCAAGAAATAAGCAACATTCGAAACATTATAATGGCAACATTTTTGCTTTCGTATAGAGTACTACATTATTTTAAACAATGAAGATGGAGGGTCTCAAGATCCAGTTCAAGCTGCCACGAGTATCGACATGCATATGCGTTGAGTTGATGATACCTCTAAGATATACAAGCAGCAATCGCGCTATGATAATTCAATACTCACCACTGGCAAGTACAGCGAGAACGAATACGCAGTACTGTCGCATGCTGCTTCTGATACACCTGCAAAGACAAAGAAGAAGCGTAGATATTCAAATCACCCCTATCACCATGAACTTCTGAAAAATATTTTAAGCTGGCTTGCGAATGTTATGGCTTTGTCGCGCAAGCTCCATCATTTTCGTCAAGTAAACTAACGCACAAGAACTTGGTTTAAATCAAATGGTTTAATGTAATGAGGATTGTATTAAGACTGAGGCATACATCGGTACATGAGAAGACAAGTGAAACACCTAATATATTTCATCGTTATGTCACTATCATCATCACCACCTTCCTAATGAAGTGTAGCGGCTGACAAACGTCTTGCTATTTGAGCAACCATATCGGCCCTGCGGAAACTGAGCAAGCTGCCAAATTTGCTAATCTCCCAGTCTCATCTTCCTAATCTCACCGCTTAAGCTGACTCTCCGTCGACCTTGCCAATACGGTGTTTCCTTCATCACGGGCACTCGTTGTACTACCAAATAAATAATTATTAATATAAGAAATAGAATACAATTATTAATAAATGCATTAGAGTATAATGAACAAACCTAAAAAAATCAGTTGAACTATATCTACTCTTGCGCAACTCTACTTTTCTTCATAGCCTTAACTAACAGAATGTAAATTAGCATTTGTTTATTTAACAGCCTTTCTTTATTTTTTGAATTGTGTGAGCTATTGCCTGTCCAAATAAGGGCGAATTTCAGAAAAATGTGTAATCTTGAAGCAATGAAAAAATTTTGGAACATGGAATGGGGCGAACGCATCGACAAGCGGCCTCGCCTTCTGAGCTGCGGCCTAGAAAAAGGGAATTCCACCTGTCGAGACGTTGGCATTAGCAACAACCATGTTCCAAGGATTGCTCATCCTCCACCCAGCCACTTGTTGCGCACTTCCTAGCAGTTTTAAGGAAATTAGTTGCTGTACAATATTGTACAACATATGTGACAGCTGTCTTCTAAATGTGCAGGCTACATGTACACATATTGTACTTTTAAATGACACTGGTAAGCAGTCCTTTTGAACATTCGTTTATTTAGGTGATAGAAATATGCTAGCTGTGATGGCGAGACCATATTCCTATCAATTGAATTATCCCTGGCATCCCCGTCAAGTGTTAACAAATTATTCACTCGCGTTTAGGTGAGAACGACAAGCTCTTTTGCCTCTTGTGTTGTACTATAACTGCGTTAGTCACCTATTAGTAGTATATTCCTCGAGACCAGAACACGCATGCTAACTTCATCACTCTTAAGTAGTTTATACTGAGTTCGCATTACAAAACTGTTCAGTTGCTATGCTTAATTATTATAAAACACCTATACACATCGCTACCATGATCTTTTTAGTTTAATACTAACAACCACTCACAAATCAGCTTATTAGATAGACGCTCCAATCACCATGCTGTGCCAAATTTCGTGTCATAAGGATGTTTTTAAAAGTTGATCAAGCGACTTGAATTAGAAATTCGATGGCAATTTTCAGTTCGCACGAAAAAATTTGCCTTGATACACGCGTATTTTACACAGCCAGTACGTACATCTAATTAACACAACTTGATTTTTTATAATTAGAGAAGATGCAGTAGGATGAAGCTAATGAAACATCGCAGCAACTAAGTAGAAAATATATAATTTCTTATTTACGATAGCGCTTAGGTGACTTTGTCCTGAATTACGCAAGAGGTGGTAGTTGGGGCCAATGAAACACAGTGACTGCATAAAAAAAATTATGATTTTTTATCGACAATACCACTCGGGCGTAAAAGCAATAGCCTGAAAATCTTTTGGAAAAGCGAATTCGGGTTGTTCGTCCGCATGTACAGCAAACGTTTCTATTTCGATGGTCACTCAAACCACAGACTTCATATTTTGAAAACAATAACGAGAAATTTCTGCTTGTAGTTCAGCGTATCAGCACTCGAAATGTACCGGCGACCGCACGCGTTTAGTAGAATAACTATAGGCTTAAATCTAGATTAGTAAGAGCTTCAATCTATCACCGTAAATACCGAGCTTTGGTATTTCAGATCAAATTACGCTAAGCTTCAGCTTCAGAACAAAAGCACTCACTTTTGGTACGTGTCTCCTTCAGAGTATCTTCCTCGAATGGCCGAAAGCAGCTTCGCACTGCCAAGCTCGAATTAGGGTGAGAGCCGCTATCTTCTCTCACCCTCGCTATCCGTTCTAGATGTTGGGCTAAGCGGGCACCATCAAACACGAGGCAAGATTGCAGACGGATGGAACAGAACACTTCTTGGAATGTCCCTCTCCCTAGCATGGGGCCTCGTCGAAGGGGTTGTGCGCGCTCTATCAAGTTTTTGGCTTACGATACAGACCGCCTGGTAGCCTTGAACAAAGATACGCTAACACGCGGTATCTTTAACAATTTTACAAGTGCAAAACAGCCTATTTCCGGTGAGGCACCGGGACGCCTCAGTATTTCTTGTAAAAAAAATTGGGCTATTTGTTGTGACCGTAGATACGAAAAAAAATATACGTTCCAAATGGGTGTCCACATGTGCGCCACGTATTTTTTGCCTTCGCGAGTTCGTTAGCTGTAGCAGCAGCGATTCTGCTTGTCATGTTAACTTTGACATGTCAAAGCGATAGCATTAAATAACTCGTTTCGCAAATATTCCGGCTTTGGCGAGGGTGGCAGCAGTATTTTTGTGAGCGAGAAATCAGCGTTGACTGTGAGCGAGAAATCGGGATATATGCAAGTGAATTAAATAATAAAGATGCTCGGTTTGAGCAAGAATCAAACTAGGGCCTTTTGCGCAGCAAGTGTGTGTTTGACCGCCGAGTCACTGCAGTGCTTGAAACTCCTTCCGAATCGACAATCCTATATGAATATCATGTAGCCGGAGGAATCTCTTCAAAGGCATTCGATATTGCGCGGCAGACGCTTGGAATCCCGTCAGGCGTAAAAAAAAAAAAAACGTGTGAATTGCGTTACGAGTGGGCGTTTCAAAGACCCGCCCATCATAAGACGCTAAGGCGTAATTATTCACCATTATCAGCGATACCATCAACAGTGTGCGCAGGTGCACATGGAGCTTTTCGGACTCGTAGTGCATATTCCGCCGATTCTCAAAAGAGAGTAATGGCGTAGCGGTCACTTCACAAATGTTCTTGCAGTATAGGCATTATCCAAAGCTATGCTTACAGCCGTTTCTCTCCTTTTCTTGTGCCAGGGTTGAGGTGTCCAACGAGAGGCGAAGCGAGGCTATACCGATCGAGAAGGCGATGCCCAATCACGCTATCGTGTTCTCCTCTTGAGGACGATCAAGCTCAAGCGTCCTCCGTGTTTTTCGTTTGTGTGTTCTCGAGTCACTGCGAACGGTCGCTTATAGCGCCACGAAGGGTTTGAAAATGGCGCGGTGTACCCTGGACAACAACATATATGGTTATTTGCGACCAACGTGATCACAAAGAAACATTTGATGACATAAAATCTTCCCGTCGCTATATGAACTCTGATTAAAATGTGTATGGCATCGTTGACGAAAAGCCTTTCCATACATCGTTTGTCTGTAAATTAAATCTCGTGGTATATCTGGCCAAATACTCGCTTACCACGTAACACCAAATCTTACACATAAGGGCATGAAATATAGCGTTGCTATCAACTGCAGATATTTGATGTATGCGTGAGCTAATAAAATGCCGAATATATACGCCACCCTACCGATAAACGTATTTTCTAAAGTTTTATTCCGTATAAATTTCAAAACTATGCAATCAAGATGTACTGTTTGGTGGTTTTCCTAGATTCAAGAAAGTTGCGCAATGAAAATTCGGCAAATCTCAGGTTTCTTGGAAATCGATGTTATGTGAAGCATATACGGAGGCAAGGTGAGTGCGTTTTATTCTATTTTTTTGTTGATTGATCGGTATAAGGGGTTTAACGTCCTAAAACCAAGATATGATTATGAGAAGTGCCGTAGTGGTTGGCTCCACAATTTTCGAGCATCTGAGGTCTTTTAATGTGCACCCAAATCTGAGCACGCGGGCCTACAGCATTTTCGCCTCCATCGAAAATGCAGCCGCCGCAGCCGGCATTTGATCCCGTGACCTGCGGGTCCGCAACAGTGTACCTTATTCACTAAACCACCACGGCGTGGCAGCCGCATGGGTTTATATTAGCAGTTTGCAGTTGCGAAACCTTGCCAACAGCAACTTGGATGTTAGCAACACCAGAAGCGGTAAGCTCATATGAAGCGCTGCTGTTTGCGCTATATAGGGCTCACGAGGATGGTATAGCCTTCAGCATCGCTACACGAAGCAACCTCAGCAAATGTCACCTAACTACAATTTACGTTAACGCGACATGATGGCTGTATCATGAATGTACATATGATGGTTATAAAACTTGATAGCCAGTAATGCCCCCATAATAGATGTTTAGATAGATATGTGGGGTTTAACGCCCGAAAACCACCATATTGACACAATGTGACTTCAAATTACGCGCGCTAGCCGATACTTGTGTTCTCTAGATGGTTCGCGACGCACGAGCCTGCGGGACCCAGCTGCGCGCGAACCGTGTTGGAAAAAAAGAAGAACGTAGAAGAGGAGGCAGAAGTGAATCCTCGAGACAATCTAGCTGTGTTATTATTCTCGGGCACAAGTTCGCCCTGCCTACGTTAGCCTATTAAAAGAGTTCATTGAAGAGTGCGTTACAAATCTGGTGGAGGTGCTGGGTATGATGCCAAGCCCCTCTCGAGTGACGGAGCACAGTCCAGAACCACAGCGATTTCGACCAAACTAGCTGACGCCTGTTCATCAGCGCTGCAGTCGACGCCTACGTGGTGAGGGTCCTGAATTTTCACCTTTATCGACTTCCCTTGGAACATCAACGGCTGTGACATGACAGCTCAGGTCACTCCAGCCAACATTGTAGTAAACCAGCCAATGCTACCAAAGCCTTTCCACGGCGAAAGCTACGAGGACGCAGAGGACTGGCTTGAACACTTTGAACGCGTCGCAAAGGCTAACGGATATGGGGAAGAGCGCAAACTTGGAAGTGTTTACTTCGCACTGGAAGATAGCGCACGAACGTGGTATGAAAACCACGAAGCTACCTTCCGGTCGTGAATTGATTTTCGACCGGAGCTGCTCGCTGCTTTCCCGAACACAGACCGCAAAGAGAGAGCTGAAGCTGCGCTCCAGACAAGAATCAGCGAAATAACGAAGCTGTCGCCATGTATCTGGAAGACATGTCTCACCTATTCCACCGAGCGGATTCAAGTATGAGCGAAGACAGGAAGCTGCGCCATCTGATGCGAGGCGTGAAGCAAGAACTCCTTGCTGGACTAATTCGAAGCCCGCCGCGCACCGTCGCTGAGTTTCGTTCCGAGGCGACTACAATGGAAAGGACGCTACAACAGCGAGCAAGGTTACACAACCGGGATGCGATCGTCACTTCCTTGGACATGTTGCCACCAGTCTTCGGTAACGGCATGAAAGCACTGCGCGAGCTGGTGCGGTCCGTTGTGCGAGAAGAGCTGCAGAAGCAGCGTCTTGACCAGAACGCTCCAATGCTTTCGTCTCTGGCCGATGTGATCCGTGAGGAGGTCAGGCATGTGGTACGCGAACCTTCGAGCAACGCACAGCCAGAGCCACCACTACAACAGCAGACAAGAATGACGTATGCTGATGTGCTACTACGAGGACCTCCAGGACGTGCGGACGTCGTGGCGGCTACACCTATGCAGTACCCGATGCCGCCGAGCAACCTGCAGCCAATTCCCGAGAGGAGAATCAGGAAGAGCGATATCTGGAGCACTCCCGACAGGATACCGCTTTGTTACCACTGTGTGGAGGCTGGTCACCTTTACCGAACGTGCCACTACCGCCAGGCAGGACTACGTGGTTTTCCTGTCAATGCACCTCGATTAGGAAATGGTGAGCACCCCTTCGATATTGAAGAATACCTGTCGAGTCGTTAAAGTTCAAGTGGCTTCCAATGACACCAACCTCGAGCAACGACCACGGGGAGGTATAGGTCGCCTAGCCCCCGACCTTCAGCAAGCTCCCCAAGGTCTCGTTCCCCAAGCCCGCGCCGGGAAAACTAGAGTCAGCGACCTGTGGAGGCAAGGCCGCTGTCGACGCTAATGCAGAAAAACCTCCATTGCTGACTCTGAACGACGACCGATTCAGAAACCGGTGCTTCGATAGTGACGTTGCTTCCGATTTACGTGTGTTCGTTGACGGCTACGAAGTCATCGGACTGGTAGATACCGGCGCAGATTATTCAGTGATGAGTAGCGGACTTTCTAAAATACTGAAGAAAGTGCTGACTCCTTGAAAGGAACCATAAGTTCTCACAGCAGGAGGGCACCTCATCGACCCTACTGGAATATGCATAGCAAGAATCGGGATACGGGGTTTCACGTACGTCGCCAGTTTTATTGTGCTGCCAGAATGCTCAAGAGACTTGATTATCGGCATAGATTTCTTACGAGCTAATGGCGCTGTAATTAACTTGCGAGAATCTTCCGTCTCATTCTCGACTAGTCACGCGATTGCTACCTTTGAAACGGAAGAAAACGTATATGACCTTTGTATTGCGGATGATGGCGTCATGGTGCCGCCAAGATTGAGCATATCTGTCGCAGTAACCAACAAAGCATTCAGTGAATTCGAAGGATTTGCTGACAACAACACTGCCTTACTACTCCAAAAAGGGATCTGCATGGCACGAGGCATTGTTAAGTTACGTGACGGATGTGCAAATGTTCTACTCACGAACTTTGGAAATGAGGTGCAGCGCGTTGCAATATGATTATGAGAGACGCCATAGTGGAGGGCTCCGGAAATTTCGACCACCTGGGGTACTTTAACGTGCACCCAAATCAGAGCACACGGGCCTACAACATTTCCGCCTCCACCGAAAATGCAGCCGCCAAAGCTGGGATTTGAACCCGCGACCTGCGGGTCAGCAGCCGAGTACCTTAGCACCTAGACCACCGCGGTGGGGCTATAATGAATGTTTCACGAACATTAAGGTCTATTTCCAAGAAATTTCTGAGACCTGGCATGGTTCTGCAATAGAATACTTGATTCCCACGCAAAATGCAAGAGTTCGATTCCTGCTGGGACACTGACATTTATCCTTAGAATTCGTCCGATGAGCGCTGCCTGCAAAAGCTTTTTCTTGGAAATCA